TCATGATTTTAATCAGAGATAAATTAGTATTTATTTGGCAACATTCTATGATTTTCCCAACAAAATTATCCTGACATCAAAACAAAGCATCTGGTCTTTAGTCAAGTCTTTCATATTCTTTATCATTTTTTCCTTTTTCTGCAGTCAGGACAATTGTTAACTGAATAAGGAGACAATGTAAGCCTGAAGAGACTCAGTTTGATATCATGATTGGGTGTGTTTCAGAATTATTTTTTGTGAAAAAATCACTTTCATAAAATCCATGTTACAAATAAAAATGTCTTTGCTTTTCAACATTGCTACTAGACTGGCTCCTGTTCACTCCAAACTAGAACAAATGCCTTGCTGCTTTTGCTATTTATCTTGTTGAAAATTCTATTCTGTAATTCCTGTCTTTAAGAACACTGATGAACCTTCTGATTCCTTGAATTATTATCAGTCATTTCTGACAAAGTACTAGAGACTTGAATCAACTTTGTATAAGTTAAGCATCTCACGTCACATGGCATTCTTTCAGATAAGTAATATGGCTTTCATTTCTCTAGGTCAATCATTGTTAACAGTTATTAGGCTTTAGATAGAACAGCAAAAGTCAGGGTGTGGCTTTAGATATCTCAAAATGTTAGGCTTCTTCACAAGTTCAAGAGCTATGGTATTTCTGGCCGAACATTTCAATTAATCCATTTATTCTTATCAAATCATGTAATGAAGGTCATATTGAACAGCCATGATTCTTGATCATTTCACATTAATGTGGGCGTCCCTCAGGGTTTTGTCCTAAGATCTACATTGTTTCTTATCTTTATCAATGACCTTTCTGCTGTCATCAGTTCCCAATTAGATATTTTATATTGATGACAACTATTTACTACTTTCCTAATAGTAAGGTTCAACAAAGTAAAACTGGCAACTGTTGCCAAAAATGACCTCCAATCAGATGTTATCCTGGGGCAAGAAAATATTTGTAAGTTTTAATGCCTCCAAAACAAAACTGCTATCTTTTAATCATCATTAACCATTTTTGCCTTCCATCAGCATGGCTGATGCTAACCTCTAGGAGAGTAACTTATTGCACTTTATTGTTCTCACATTTTTCACTGACATGAAGTAGAGTGATTATATTGAATCAATTGTGAGGTCTGCTGTTAGGAAAATTGATCCACTGTGTCATACCAAACACCTTTTTCTCAAAAGAATCCATCTTGCACATTTATAAACCTACCATTCATCTGTGCATTAAATATTACTGCAATATCTGGTCTGGTGCTCCTGCTATAAATCTCAAAATTCTCAACAAAATCCAAAAAAGGTTCTGTAATATTATTGGTTCTGATGTGGCATCTAAACTTCAGTCACTTTCCCACCACCATGACATGAATTCTCCTCTGTCTTTTCTACAAATATTTTTATGGCAATTGTTCTAATGAGCTTTCCTCGTTGGTACCTCAACTGATGCCTGAATTTAAACATACTACTAGATTGGCAATTAGGTCTCATCATTTTACTGTTGAAATAGCTTAAATGCAACTCCATATGTTCTATTCTAATAGTTTCTTTTCTCATACTGTTTCACCTGTGAAACTTTCTTCTAGTTTCATGCTTCCCTGCCACCTATGTTATTCAAAAATTTAAACATCAATCAACATTTTCTGTCTTCCTGAATCATGTTCTTTTATTGTCCTTTCTCATCACTAAAGTCTTCTCATTCTCTTTTCCTCCCAGTAACATCTTGCATCTTAGTGGTATTATCACTTTGCTTGGGGTGAAGTGATTTTTAAAAGAAAACAATACTTCATTTAAGTGTTACATTTTATATTTTAATGTTTTATTTAAGGAATTATATTCAAAATTTGAATTTCTGGTATTAAAGATTTGCATTCATTTAGATAAAAAATGATAACTAATAAGCCATAGTTTGATGCATAATAAAATATTATTAAAAAAAAAACAATCAAGCTTGAAAAACACTTTTTTACATTCTTGCACTAACAACATTCTACACTTTTAAAATTTACATAAAACCATCAACCACTTTAGATTATAATACTAAACACTTTACAGGAAACTAAAAAATTATTTTGATCTTTACCAAACAGAACTAATAAAAATATATAGTAGTGTACTTGATTAAAATTATATAGTCTGTTATTGGATGAAGTATTGAAAAATTTTATATTGTTTGTCAGGATTGTCCAGGATTGTGTTGTTTGTTCACATACATAAAATAACATGATTTGTTTGGTTAGAACATTTTAGCTTCAGATAGCTTTGTTGAGCTACATGGCCAGCATACAGCTAAGCTTCAAATTCTTTATAACTCATGATTTTTTTAAATATTTTCATAAAAGGAATGCTTTTTCTGACCCAAATTGATATATAAAAAGAAGAGTAAAAGAGAAAATAAATGAGAAATATGGAGAAAAACTATTTCATTGATTTTTAAGTATAGTAGTGTGGTATCAACAAGACTGGTGTTAAATAGTAAGTAATATACATAATCTTCTTAATTTCTCATAAGAAATAAAGCAGTCACTATGGTTAAGATTAATGAAATTCATAAGGACATCAGGTTAAAGATTGTAACTGCCCACAGTGAAGAGAAATGCAACAATGTTTTATGCAAGCCATTTCAACATTTGAAAACATAACCAATAAATTCAAGAATTTTCACACTATGACAACACCTCAAAGGAGATGGGAGAAAACCTAAAGTATCACTTAGTATAGAAAGAATAATCCTCAGAAATATCAAGAAAAATCCAAGGATTACAATTTGGCTGGTTTGAATGAATCTGATATGAAAGTATCTCAGTAGATGCTCCATCAAACTTTGCATAAGGCTGGCCTCCATGGAAGACTCCAGTGCTCCAAGCCAGGCATGTAAAAGGTCATCTAGTTTTTACTAGGCGTCATCATGATAAGCATTCAAATACTTAATTACCTATTCTTTGGTAAGAGGAAATAAATATAAACCTTTTTTTATTTGGTGCAAAAGGAGTGAATCATTCAACCTAAGTTACACTTTCCCAACAGTTAAGCATGATAGTGACAGGCTTATGCTATGGGTATGGTTTGCAACCAGTAGGAATGTTTTTTTGTCTAAAGTGGATGCAGTCATGAAGAAAGAATTGTATATTCAGATATTGAACCAAAACATCAAGCAATCTACAAAAAACTTGGACTGGAACATGAGTGAAACTTTTAACAAAACAATGACACAAAACACATGTCAAAAATTGGTTCATGGACATTAATGTGAATGTTTCAAAGTGGTCAAGCAAGCATTCAAACCTTAACACAAATGAAAATTAGTGGAGAGAGCTGAATACATGAGTAATGACAAAGAAGCCCTCTATCCTTAAAGAGCTAGGGACCTTAGCAAACGAAGGGTGGGACAAAATCTATTGAGACTTGGAGTCTTGTGATGAAGTATGAGAACTAGTTACAGACTGTGATAGCTAATAAAACTTTACAACTGTTTATTCAGATATATATTATTCAGGTATGAACAATTTTAAACTTGCTTTTTGTGATTAAATTGTAAATAATACTTCAATGAAATGCATTTTTTTTCATATTTTTCATGTAGTTTCTTTCAGTCTTCTGCTTTCTTCATATATCAATTTGGGTCAGAAATAAAAAAAATTCTTTAATAAAAATACTTTGAAAAATCATAAATTTTGCAGAGGTATGAATAATTTTTCACTGCCATATTAATATATTTTTACAATAATCAAATAAACTTCAGCAGCCATATCAAAACAATAACTGAACAGAAGTCATCCCACAGAAACAATATATATATATATGTGTGTGTGTGTTTGTGTGTGCAGGTAAATAGATAGATATTGAGAAGATTTAGTGGGTAAAAGATCCCTACATTTACAGGTAAAGTTTCAAAGTTGAAACCATGGGTGGAGGCCTTAAGAGTTTGAAATGATAAACTTGTCATATGATGATTATAATAATTTTGAAGGTGTAGTATCAGAATGGTTAGAATTGTATCTTGATATTCATAATAATAAAAGGTAAAGAATGCCTGAAGAACAGTTAAATATGGAGGATAATGATTTCATAAGATCATTTGAAGCTGTACAAGTATTAAATACAATGAGACAAGGATTGGGACAGACTTTGTATGATACTGAACTTAACAAAGCTTACAGAGGCATTAAACAGAGGGAAGACTCTGCTATTAGCTGAATAATTCACTGACATAATATGAAATTGGTTTGTGAAGGAAGAGATAGCTATAGCAACACCCACATCTTGCTGAGCTAAGAAGAAGCCTAAAGTTGTGGATGTCAGAAAACAAAGTATTAATTTGCTATAAATGTGTTAATGACAATTGCATACGAAAAAATGTCCCTTCACAAAATTTGGGAGAATGAAGCAGGCTTGGTCAATCTGAGATGGGTTTTATCAGCACTCCCCACATTCCTTGAGTTTCAGCTGAGAGTATGGCTTTAAGGGACAAAGACAAAAGCATTGTCCCAGTAAAGAAGGTCTCTCTCTACTATTGGCTGAATGTGGAAAATCAAAAGTGCATAAAATATATGATAGTATAAGCAATGTCTCTATCTAGTTTGGGATAGGAAGAAACCCCCACACCCAAAAACAAAGGAGCAATCCAAGAAAGAATCAGGGAAAATGCTCAGAGAATGTGAATAAGGTGATGGCCCAGATATGTGTTGGTAGTCAGTAAAACAAGAGTAAATAAAACAGATGTAAGAGGTGTAAAAGGAGCCATACACAAGACACATACTATAATTGTTGGTATTGGTGGGTGAGGAGGCCACTATTGAAAAAAATGTAAGGAATTTGCCTGTTGGAAGTGTGAGAGGAAAGGAAATTTGAAAAGATTCTTTCCAGAAAGATCGTAAAAAATCCACTTGTTCAGAAGAGGGGGTTGAAAGGGGGCATTTTAAGAAGAGAAGCAGAGGAAAGAAAGAAAAAAGAAAAATAAGACAGAAAATAGGAGTAGGTCAAATGAGCAGAGATCAGTGTAAAGAAGAAGAATGGAGACAGTTTAGAAAGAGAGAGGTTCCAGAGAAGAAGCAGTTCAATTTGGAAACAAGAAGAAAAGAAAGGTGAGAGAGGTTAGGGTGTATGATCTATTCATAAGAAAAGCTGACATGGTTTCCAGAGTACAGAGAGGAGGGTAAGACTAAGAGAGCTTAATTGATATTAAAGCAGATGTATCAGTGATGGATTTAGAAGCTTTTAGAGAATTGAAATTTAAAGGCAGAAAGCTAAAAAGGTCAGGTTGAAAAGTAAATGCAGATAAGAGGTACAAAATGAGAATAAGTGGATGACAATAATTCCACTTGAAGTAAAAGTAATAAAAACCACTATGAAAATGTTTATAATTCCTGAATAAAGCAGAGGGGTTGTCTTGGGTTTGAATTGGTTTAGAAAAAATATAACTTTGATTGATCAAAAATAGGCTGAATAAAAAATAAACTAGGTTTTCAGGCATATGAGGAATTTCCTTTTTCTCTACACTGCCATGTCCTGTCAAGATAAATGGGTCCCCATTGGAAGGAAGTGTTGGGTGATACATCAAGTAATCCCAGTAGATGTAGGAAGAAGTGGCTGTGTAAGAATCTATAGTAGAAGGAGATGGCATCAGTAGAATTGCCATGTTAGCAACTGCAGCCAGTAAAACAGTGAAAATAAAAAAAAAATGATATTAAGTGGGATAGAAGACTTAAATGTTGGAGTGGATGTGAAACTACAGTATTGTGGGAACTTAGAGATTGAAAATATTAGCATTAGTGTCAAAGAAGAAATCATACTACAGGAATATAAGGAACAGATATTACACAGAATGAGAATAGATATTGAAAATTCCCTCAATAAAGCTGAGGCCATATTGAACCCAGCTCCATAAAGAGGAAATTGATAGAATAGTGAAGGTGATGTTAGATATGAAAATAGAAAAATCTAAATCTCTACCAGTTGATAAGAAATATGGCAATCATATCTTTTCTGTAGACTTTCAAGTGTTGAACAATATTATGAAACCATTAGTCAGTATCTACTTCCCTTGATATATGTATATGATATATTTTCCTTACTGGATGGAGTGACTTACTTGATCACCCTCAAATTAAGAGCAACTGGCAGGTAGAACTGAAAAAAGTAACCAGAAAATAACCATGTGCCATTGTTCCAATTTAGGATTGTTTTCTCCAGACTGGCTAGTGCCCCTGCAGTTTTTCCATCAGCAACTTATGTTGATAGTGTTGAGTGGAATGGAAGAATTCTATATGACCTACATAATGACATACTGAAGTTTGCATAAAGTGTCTATGGCTGTTGTTTGACCATTTAAAGGACAGAGGTGGAAACTGTTACTGACAAAAATGCCATTTTATGAAAGAAGAAACAAAATAGTTAAATCATGGTTACATGCATTTTGCCCTGACCCACCTCTACAGTTGTCCATGGTTACATGAACTTTATCCTGACCTACCTTTTACAATTGGCTATGGTTATATGCACTTTGTCCTGACCACCACTGCAGCTGGTGATGGTCATGTGAACTTCTTTGGCTGGCTATGTTTAGATGGATTTTTTCCTTGTTCACCTATATCGATAATCATAACAATGTGTTCTGTACTTTTCATTGGTCAGCTATAACATGTAAAACATTGATATTTTAGCCAGTAATTATAATGCTTCCTTTGATGGTGACTCCTTGTCACTGTGGAGTGGCTTGTATGATTCAATGACTCTTAAGAATTATATTGTCAGGAATTCTAGACTCCTGGTAGGGACATCCTTGCTGGCAAGGTCAAAGATAAGGACCCAGACTAAGCATGACCAACCCCAAAGACTGCAACAGTGGAACAAGTGGATGACAATTACAAGAGATTTCAATGGGTGAAGAGGGCTACTCATGACAGACCTGCTACAGAAGACTCCACTCAAAATTATAACACAGTCAGTGGCAATCAGTTGCAGTTTCATATCTGGATTCTGCATATGTACAGCAGAGGAAGGTCATGAAATTAAGTATGTGGGTCACTTCCTGGCAAGGTGTGTTACACATTAAACAAATTCATGCCATTGGCACTTTTTTCTACACTGATTTTGTTTCACCTCTACTAATCTTGTAAACTCAAATGGTGATAGGGAACAGGTTTTAGTGAATCTAGAAGCTTCTAGTCCTGAACCTGCATGTTGTCAATGAATTTAGTCATCAACACCATCACTATAAATGAAGCAATCAGCAAAGAAAAGATTAAATTCTTGGCTATGATTTTCTACTAGCCTGATATTGTGTCTAATTATGGTCATTTCACTAGTTGCCTATAATAAATCTATCAATAAATTTTTTATATGTGTGTCAATTTTTGTGATCATATTAGAAGTTATTTATTTTTTTAAATTATAAATTTTTGTTCTTTGACAATGAAAAGTTGAAAGTCTCCAAAACCTTTTATCTCTCTTCTAACCCAGAGACAATAAGTTGAACTAAAAGTGAACACGGAAGAATTACAGAGGAAGTTAATGTCACAACAAATTAAACACCACATGAATACATCTTCATTTATACACCTTCTTTCTGAAACACTGCAAGCAAGAATTTGCAGCTTGACTGAACAAGAAGATAAATTATTTGCGTATCCAGGTAAGAACTAAGCAGACAATTTGTATTACTGGCAAATTCAACCTGAGATATGTATAGTCAAATGAGGATAAGATTCCATAATTTGAAATTGCCTTTCTCTCTTTCTCCGGGTCTTTTAAATCTGTTCTGTGAACATTTCCATCTAATATTAAAATATGACTCCTCAAGTCTAAAATTAAAAACAATAAGACAGAAAATATTTTAGGAATTTGCATTCTCTTTTTCAAGTTTCTTTTTATAAATAGACTGTTTTTTATATTTCTGTTTATAAAAGGAGTTCTTTGTGGTGATTATGAAATTGGTTTATGATTATTAAGAAAACATGCATGAAATTAATCCTATTCTAATAATATTTGCTAAACTTATTTTATATGGCAGTAGGCCTAATGATGAGTAATAAGTTAAAATACTGTGCTGTGCTTATTTAATAACTTGATTATCAGTACAGTATTTAATTTCTTTTTTTTATCAGTACAGTATTTAATTTCTTTTTTTTTTTTTTTTTTTTTTTGGCCTGGGTTAGGATATCAACTACTGGCATAGGTGAGATGTAATAATATCTAAACCACCAAACAGAGCAGTCCTTTTGGATCTCTTTGAGATAAATTGGAGGCAGACCATCAAGATCAGTGGTGAATTAGGCTGCAACATTGAGTCAGCAAATAGAAAACATTTTCATTTTCTGTTGTTTTTGTTTAGTTATTGTACTCTCAAGATCATGAATCTGGGATTTTGTAGTGTTTATGAGAAAATCGGTTAGAAACTGTTGATAATACCTGTATGCATATCAAGGACCTGTCATGAATTGAAAACTTTTCATTTATTTTTGTCTTGTAGAAAATAATTTATTTAAATAACTGAACCACCTACTCTCTTCTGTAAAGACACCTAAGCTTTGTAATTTTATGGATGTTGACAGAAAATAGGACAAGATTCATAAAATTACCAAGCTTAGGTGTTTTTACAGAATAAACTGTAGTTTTTATTGCTTCATAGAATTCAGCTATGCTTCAAAAATGCAATGTCAATCGCCACTATGTTTCCTGAATTCCTATCCTTTCATTATTTTCTCTCCTTCATTTTTCTTCTCAGATTTTTTCATACTAAGTAATCCCTGCACTATTTACATTATTCGGACTATCATCTTTGTCGCCATATTTATTACAATGTTTCAGCCGTTGTACGCTCCGGCCTTCTTCAAGTGATTGGAATGTTGAACTGAACCCTTTATTTCACTCAGTGAGCAAAATAAAGGGTTCAGTTCAACATTCCAACCATCTGAAGAAGGCTGGAGCATACAACAACCAAAATGTTGTAATAAATATGACAACAAAGATGAGGACAATAGTCTGAATAATGTAAATAGTGTACATAACACCTCATCTCAGAAATATAGACAGATACTAATTAATCCCTTGTGTCTTTATGTTCTTTATAACCTTGTTTAGATGGAAATGTTTAAAAGAAATATATAATTTTCCATTCTCACATACATTTCTTTTAACGATGAACAATATTTGGAGAGGCTGGGAGGATTTCCATTAATTTAATATCTTTTAAATCTTTTTGTGTGTTACAAAACATTAAGAGTTAGAGATGTGTTGAAAATTACTATTACTATTAATTTTCAACTTGTCTCCACTTTTTGATAGTTTTTTTTTTTTTTTTGGCAAGGTAGATAATAATCATCTATGCTGAATCTGATGGTACATTGTGTTGCATTAATATCTACTCTTGAACTTAAAGCTTATGAGGTGTAACTTGAACTACTCAGAATATGTCTTGTTCAAGAACTTCAAATAATTATCAGCATTTACTTTGATGCCATCAACTTTGAAGTGAGGTACTAATTTTATTCCACCTTAGACCTGTTGTTTTCTAAGCCGTTTTGCTTGACTATTTCCATGAAGGGCTTGACCTCTAGTCCAGCTATTAGCTCTAAATTCATTACAAAATTTTACTGTTGAGAACTCAGTTTTCCAATTTATAAATTTCTCTTTTGATGTTTACTTGAAGGTGGTGGTTTTTTAACTTTCATCTCTAATGCTAATGTTCTTAATATCATGCATTTTTCTCTTTGTTTACCATCACATCAGCTTCTTTAAATATTTGCTTGTTGGTCAATCCACTATTGTTGGTTATTACCCTGTTAATTTTTTTTCAAATCAGATTTAGTGACATTCTTAAAGCTATTTCTCCTTGTTCCTATCTTCCCAATTTTATTAATTTCTTTTTTGATTGTTCTATCATCTTTGTTCAATTTTTCCTAATTTCCAACATTGTCAATTTTATACAACTGAAATTAAAAAATAAATATACATAAGAATTTTGTTATATGTACTTATTTACAATATGATAAACAACCCTTAAGTGCAGTATTTACATTAGTCGGACTATTGTCCTCATCTTTGTCGCCATATTTGTCACAACGTTTCGGCCGTTGTACGCTCCGGCCTTCTTCAGGTGGTTGGAATT